ACTCTGCAGAATCCTATGGGTAACGTCACGGACACTACGTCCATTTATATATACAGTCTATGGTTTAATGTCAACCATTTGTGCAGATAGCATGAAGTAGAGTGTAATGTAGCGTTAGCATTTCTCCCCCCGGCTTAAATGGTGTATTATAGAATGATCACACCGTTGTGACAGTACTCTTCAAAGGGTTCACGAAATATGACAACTCTTACTGTTTAACATTTTGGGTTACTTGATGTTACTTCATGTTAAGGCTAATCAAAAATCACAAGGCTAAGACTAATGCTAACTAATGTGCTTGCTACTAGCTAGGTAGCTAACTTGATTTTACGNACAAGGCTGTAATGCTAACTAACGTGCTAGCTACTAGCTAGGTAGCTAACTTGATCCAGCCACTCCTGGTCCTTTCATCAGACGGGAAGCAAAAGAACGAGCAAGGCCCATTGCTGGTATGTTAACAACCTGGTACTAAGCACACAGGCATCTTGTTAAAGTTTTCTTAGCTATCTCTTATATTTAGGAGGAAAACAATTGTGACATCAGTTATGACATGAGGATTTGTAGTTTTTCTAGTTGCGTATTTTTCATAGTCTTGTATTTCAACAGTTTTTCGACAAACTGTGACTTTTTTTACATGGAAATGATTTGTTAAGATTGACAACCATCATATGTGTGATTCATGGCACAATTCAAACTGGATCGAAAGATAAGTTTTCTCTCTCCATTGACTTCAATACATAATTTTTCCGAAATAAGGTCCCATGGACCGGAAGTAGATGGGCGTGACTTCGCCACTCTATGGCCTTTAAAATCTCTAAATGTTATGGAATTTATTAAAATGGAAACATATTATAGAAAAAGCAAAGCTCGGCCTATGGCTGGTGGCAATTTCCTGAACAATGAACAACATATTAATTGGCATTTATGTGACACAAACAGTTAGTGACAAGATAGAGTTCTTGCTTTAAACCAATGTTTGTACCTTGTGATTGCCTTGTAAAAGTCAATGTGGTCAGAGTAGCTTACAGTATGTGTACAGTGACACACACATCACAAAAGGCAGTGGCAGCAGAGGAGATTTATGACAGCGTGGGGCTGTTACTTGAGATTACCCATCCAGTAAAGTAAAAATAACTAGGCTGCTGTGCACTAGTTGGTTCTTGGAGTACTCGAGACACAAAATAGGTGACACTCGGAAGGCAAAGTCCAAGATGTGGAGTGCTGCATGAGCTCAGCTGAGTAAAAAAAAGCAATTTGTGCTTTTGTTTGGATCGATAGCTAAGAAAGCCAACAGGGAGGGACTGAATTGAAAGCAATAATACATTATTAATAATCAGATTTTTATGATCTCTCTCTGAGAGAGAACATTAGCCAATTTTGTTATCTTCTGATGCAGGTTTTCAAAATGTATTCCAGTATATTAAGTTGTATTTTGAAAATATATGTTTATTTATTTTTGTTCTTTTCAAAATCCTAAGAATAGGAGGCAAAACTGATGATGAACACATTTAATATGCAGAAGAGGTATCTGAAACAGAATTGAAGTAAAACTACAACCTCATCATGACACTTTTTTCTATATAACTGCAAATGGCTAGAATTAATCAATTAATAGAAGCATTCAGATAAATCTATCTTCCCTTATTGACCTTCACCAAAGCACCTGCCTGTCATTGGAGCCGTTGCTACACTGTACGCTTTGCTTTTATTAGGGAACCCTCTGTCCCGACTCCCATACACACACTGGATTTCAACTATCCAACTTAATATTGGCATTTCAATCTAAGTTATGTTCAATAGCTCTTAGCTTAAAGACTAAGCTAAAAAAGCATGTAACATTGTATACACTTTCACCCACAATGTACATAGATAGAATAAATAAATAATGAGGAATAAAAGCTTACCTTGTGCAGACAGGTGTCCACCACCGAGTTACAGACCTTCTCCAGGTCATCGCACACCAGGAGTCGAGAGCGCACAAACTCACACAGCTCCTCGTTGGACATGACATCCCAGATTCCATCACACGCAAGCACCACAAACTCGTCTCCTTCGGCCGCCCGCTCCAACACGTACACCTCGGGCTCGGGGCTCACCAGCTGCTCCGTGGGGCCCTTACCATCCACACATTTGTAGTCGTAGTCCCCCAGGGCCCGGGACACAGCCAGGGAGCCGTTTACCCTCTGGATCATGACTGAGCCGCCAGCGTTCTGGATGCGCTCCTTTTCACGGGGGTTGCAGGGCTTGTGGTCCTGGGTGGAGAAGCCCACCTTGGTTTCTCGACTCAGCACGGCCCGCGAGTCGCCGCAGTTAATGAAGTAGAGGTGGGTCGGGCTGAGCAACACGCACACGGCCGTTGATCCGCTGCGGTCCAGGCCCTGCCGCAGGTCGGAGAAGCTGCGCATGTACTCGTCAATGTTAAGGAAGCCCAAGCGGATGCCATCTTTCACGCCATCCACGGAGCCGGATCCTGAACTGAACTCGGCCCCTCCTGACAAGATGTGTTCCAGCAAGTGGCCGGAGCAGTAGTTGGCCACCCGGGAGCCTGCATGGCCATCGTAGACAGCAAAGAAGGACCAGTCAGTGAGTCCATGGGGGAGACCGACCGCTGCTGTGTGGGCATCCTCCATCTCCACCCGCCAGCCCTGCATGGAGCTCAGGCCGTAGCGCAGCCCATTGCCATCACCGTGGGCAGTATGCTTCTCCGTCTTCGGCTTGTCCAGGAATGCACCCATTGCTGCCTATAGCTATTAACAAAGGGAAAAGAAGGGTTTATACAGGATTAAGATTACACCATCACTAGTTAGGACAAAGAAGATACTTTCATTGCACTACTGTAGCATACATTTACTCACTTTATACAGAGTTAGTAATAGAGGTAGACCAATAAATGGATAAATATTATAATATTAGATATTGGTGTTTATGTTGCAGTCCAGAAAAACTCATCTAGGTTTGAAGTCATTTAGAAAGTGATACCATTACAGTAACATATTTTACACAAAATCTGTAATACTCCAGTCAGGAAGGTCTACCATTATGCTGTCTTTTATTTATTTACACTGAACCAAACAGCCTCAGAATATGGCTACACCAGTGTTTGATTTTAGTATGCGTTACGCGAGTGAAATAAGCGTGAAAATCTTTTTTTAAATCAGTATTGGTCGGAGCGATAATTTGTGTAGGTGTAGGCAATATCAATTCTTAACTTCATTTAAAAAATGTGTTAGTTAATGTTGAACTTTATTTTGACTGTAAATATAAAGGGGAAAAAATCCAAAAGGGAAGAAAGCATTACCATAACTGTAGTTGATATTGTATGTGTTTATGATTTACAAAAGTCGAAATAGTAAATAGTTAAGACTAAATCCAGATTATTTTCTCACATAATTATATTACAATCATTTTTATTTCATGTTTAAGATATAACATGCCAGTAGAGATCATATCATAAATTGTATTCATCATATAAATCCCTCTGCAAATCAGCAGTTTTTAGTGTCAGTAATTCAGTAGGTTCCTTTCTTCTGTGATTACAGAGTGCTTATAACTACTCAAGGAATGGTGAGAGCCCAACAACAAGACAAAGGCGGTGTTTACACGAGAACTAAACGGGTTGTATCTGCTACCTTTCTCTCGCGTATTCGTTCACACGAGGCCATAACAGAACCGCGGAAACGGACCCCGCAAACGAGAACGGGTCCCAAGGTGGATAGATCTGCAACCGGAATGCTCTGGGTGGCTAAACGGCTCTGTGTGTACGATCATTTCCTGCCATAGCCCCACCTCTGCTGCTCACTGCTGTAGCATGGTCAGTAGCTATTGTCAGTAGCTACTGCTACTGCTACTGACGACCATGCTACAAATGTTAGTGCAAAATCTATAGCTCGACCATGCTACAGATGTCTAAATCCACCGCGGGTCATAAACAGAAGGGCAACCATGGCAACCATGCTCGGGGGTCTTCTTCGCTGCTTTTGGTGTATTTTGCGGCGGAAGTTACTACGCCACTTACAGGCCCGGCATATGTACTACAGCGTTCCCAGTGGTCTTGTGTGAACGGACACGTTAAATGAGCCGAATGCGTGTGAACGGAAGACTTTTTTGAATACGAATTTGGCGCGTAAACGCAAACGTTCCCGTGTAAATGGGGTCAAAGATAGCAAGGAGGAACCACAGAGCTGAGGATTACACTGCAGCAGTAAAGCTTCTGTGAGCACACATAACCTCTTTTACTCTGAGCACAAGGTAACTAATACTATTAGTACCATTGATTTGTTGACAGGACCTCACATTACTGAATCAGCCAGGTGTTCACCTGCAGAGCTGAATGGGAACTCATCTGTCTATGTTTTTGTTCTTCGACAATCAAATGCATTCCAGGAAGTCCAGTTTGAGTGGCAGACCAATGAGTTTGAAGGCTTATCAGACACCGAATGATAAGAGTGCACCACAGGAAGGGGCACTTGAATGTAATATATTGACCAACACAGTCTCCTGCACTGTTTTGTTGCAAGCTACAAGCTAACAGAGCTTGAATGAATTGCTACTGAAGTTAGTTAAATATAGAATAATGTATTCATATTTTGATCTACCCAGTTAGACACAGGTAACTGTTCAAATGAGGCAGAGGCTTTTGACTGAGGAACATGGAAATATTTTCAATGTAGATAACTAATCTGTATCAGCCATCAATTGACTGACTGAAGAGCTTTTTCTTGTATACGAAAATGAAAAGGCCCCTAAAATTGCAACGTTTACAGTTTTTTATGTTAGTAGTATTTCATTCATCGGGTCAGACATTTTTTGTTTGTCTACTGTTACTAGCAACTGTACCTGAAGACCCTAGCAGCCTCAACCTCATGCACAGCCCTACCCCACCATATCTTTGGCATTTTATGACCTGCACTATATTTAATACCAATCAATTCTGACCTAAATGTCATCAACTGCTTCTGAAAGCTACTTACAGTATGTATTGGTTGGCTGGTTTAGAGCTCATGAGATCTCAAAATCAATATAAAAGCAAAACATATATATTGAAAGTGCTCTGAGCATTTCTTTTTTTTCAACATATTGATTTCTCTCCCTGCATTACCTCCCACGAGTGCACACACGGCATGACAGGCATGTGCCCAAAAAAGGCTGGTACATGCAAGGAGTGACTTCAGCTGGTTTAGGAGGAACCTATGTGTGTATGTGTGTTATGCGCATGTGTGCAGTGTCATAGTCTATGTGCGAGAAAAAGGCACTCTATAAATATGCCAGGCCGGTTTAGATTTCATGTCCAGGGTGGGGCATCGGGCCACGCCATTCACATTTTTCCTGCCGTTCTGCTACAGGATTGAATGAACAGGATTCCCTCGATCAAGCTCTCAGCACTAGCTTCTGCCATTCACAATTACCTATATGTTCATGTATGGTAAGAAAGTGCGTTCACATACGTGTGTGATAGAAAGAGAAATCTGTTATGTTCACCAGCAGTGATTCTCTCTAAAAATAAAACAAACACACTGCCATTGCCTAGCAACCACCCACCCTGCAGGGCAAACATCCAGGCTAAGCTTCATTCAGCGACATCCCCCTCTCTATGTCTCTCCCTCACTCGCTCTAAAAGACACACACACACACACACACACACACACACACACACACACACACACACACACACACACACACACTAGAGAGAGGAAAGGGGAGTTGCATCATCCATCCATTAAAGCAGTCGCAGCAGCCAGACCCTGAAAGGAGACATGCAGACTGCAAAAACACATGCAGATACTATGAGATTCCTCTGTCTGACAATTGTTTTGTTACACTGCTGGTAAAAAAAATACACTGGGAAATATCTCCATTGAGACATCAGACTGAAACAAGGATCTCCTAACCACTTAACTCCCTCAAAACTGCTGTCACCCGAGCTGGAACCACAGGTTGAGAATCAACACCCCCTCATGCGAAGACGCACACGTCTGCCAAAAACCACTGTGGCTACGAAGAGGGAAGTGGAAGGTCGGGGATTACATAATGCTGCAGAGAGCCTGAGTGCCGCTGTGAGAGCAGTGCACAAATAAGTTAATGCTATCCTGGAAGCAAGGTTAACATACAGCTTCCAGCACATACAGTATGCTGCAATATGATGGGCTGATTTGGGAGTCATCAGCTCGGTGTGATCAATATATGATTTTGATTTGATTACAATCTGAAGTCTGAACGTTCGCAACTAATGGCTTTTTACCTAAAACATATAATTAAAGTAATTTCAAGTGTTTCTCCAGAAAATGCCAAACCCATATCCTACATTTAGTTGAGTATTACCGTTTCCCTTGGTGTTGCTTTTCACGAATAACTGAAAAAAATAACACTATAGTGAGTAACAAGCTACCAAGCTGACAGACAAGAGCATCTTACGCAAAACTGTTCATCATGCAGTGTCATAAAATACAGGTTATTAATGAAGGCCCTATGAAATCCGTTTATATTTTAAATTCTGTGTAATCTGTGTTTTACAGTTTAAGCACATCGTCATCAGAAATAGGGTTCATTCATGAGGTGGATGAATGAAATGTAAACAATTTACAAAGTAATATTCAGATATGCTATTTAATGATTAGCAATGAATTACGTTCATTAAAACAACTAAGGATGTGTTTCAAAATAATTCTGAAGAATTGCAGGAGCTGAGCCAAAACCCGGCACACACTTTTGTGTGTGGAGCCCTTAAAAAACAGAGAGAAGATAAACAGATATTTTTGATAACTGACACCAAAACTTTGCAGCGTAGTTTATGTCTTTTCATTCGTCTTTATGAAGGCATTAGGCGGAAAATTAAAATAGCATCCACATTTGAGCAAATTCCAATATATTAGATAACTTAATTTTAGCAATAAATGTTAATATTTTGTTTGTGTTTCCTGCATATCGTAAAATTATAAAGCCCTAAATAATGAAATGCTGTCCAACCATAATTGGATAGCATCAAGAGTTAGCTACATTAGCTTACAAGCTAGCAAGTACATCTATTTTTCATCATGTTATTGTGACAAAGCTTTAGTTACTTGTTTCTTGGTAAGTTAATCATTAACTTCCTGTGCCTTGTGACATTGAAGTAGGCCTGAAAGAATAGCCGACTGAGGGTGGCAACAGGACAAACTGCAGTAGATAGTGTAGTGAACTCGTGCTTATGAACATTAGGCAAGCAGTCTAGCAAGCCTGCTAACTTCTGCTAATAGAGTGGCGAAGTCACGCCCATCTACTTCCGGTCCATGGGACCTTATTTCGGAAAAATAATGTATTGAGGTCAATGGAGAGAGAAAACGTATCTTTCGATCCCGTTTGAATTGTGCCATGAATTACACATATGATGTTTGTCAATCTTAAAAAATAATTTCCATGTCAAAAAAGTCACAGTTTTTCGTAAAACTGTTGAAATATAAGCCTATGAAAAATCCGCAACTAGAAAGACTACAAATCCCAGAGTCGCGTAAGTGATGTCACAATTGTTTTCCTCCACTAAGAGATAGCTAAGATCAGCGCCATATAGATAGAATCTGTCTATATGGCGCTGGCTAAGATAAGATAACGTTAACAAGATGCCTGTGTGCTTAGTACCAGGTTGTTATCATACCAGCAATGGGTCTTGCTCGTTCTTTCGCTTCCCGTCTGATGAAAGGACCAGGAGTGGCTGGATCAAGTTAGCTACCTAGCTAGTAGCTAGCACGTTAGTTAGCCTTGTCATTTGTATTA